CTTATAGGCCCTTACATTTAACATGGTTAATTGTCTCTTCATTCATGAGGGGTTCTTTTGTCTTAACATGATAAAAGGCAGGAATAGGGACCCCCCATGTCCTTTGTCTCGAGATGCACCAATCAGATCGACTGGAAGTCATGGCAGATATTCTGTTTACCGCCTGAATGACAATTGCCAAAAGATATAAACTCCAAACAATACATATGCATCTCTTAAAAAAGATGATATAAGGAAAGACACTAAGTCAAGCAGTATGATATCATCTTAACATTGAGAAAATCACACAGCAAGGTGGATCAGAGCATGTAGTTCATGTGCTATGAGTCGCCTTTCACAGCTAACATTTACACATGATACTTTTAACCCGCATACTCAAGAAAAAATATCAACTTATAAACTCAGTATGTATTCAACTAGGTACCTGATCTGGTACCCATTTTACATTGTTGATTGCATCCATTGTGGCCGTGCGAAACCCTTCAACTGATGCAAACCACTGCTCAGTCGCTCTAAATATCGTAGGTTTCTTAGTTCGCCAATCATATGGGTATTTATGAGCTGCATGAAAAAGAAGGAAATTAAATCATGACACTCTGAAGCACATGCTTGCTCAAATGGTTCCTCAGTAAGCATCTGAAGCAAACTCACCATAAGATTCTTCCATGACCAGAGACATATTTTCATCCAGGTAACTGACAACAGCACTATTCCCTTCTCCAAGGACGGAGAGCCCTCTAAACCTTCCAGCTTCTTCAGTGAACTTTCCTTCATCATCCACCGGAGAGATAAGAGGCAGCCCATACTTCAGGCCGGTTGCATAATCCTCCTGACCATGACCAGGGGCAGTGTGAACCAACCCTGTTCCAGATTCCGTAGTTATGTAATCACCCCCTATAACGACTGGACAGTCCCTGTTGTCAATTGGATGTGTGTACCTACAACCATGATGACACACCATAAACTAAGGGGTTCAATTTATAGCATCATATGCAAAACTGAAATTTCTTTTATTCTCTAACTTAAAATGTAACCTGCAGTTTTCAAGATCTGAACCAAGGAATGTTTTACTTATGATAAGCTTGACACCCCATTTCGCTTCTAATGCTGGCACAAGGTCGGTCGCTACAATCACGAAAAGCTTTTGTTGATTCTTTAGAACCTTCCCAGGCATTTTCTTTTTATTGCCTGTCACAGCAGATTCATCTTCTGAGAATGACTGCACTTCCACAACAGAGTACTGAAGCTTTGCATTCACCGCGACAGCTGAAAGTTAGACAAGAAAGAAAGGAAGAAGAGTCACTAAATTTGCTTATATAGCATTCAGATATAGAAAACGAGACAAAATAAGTATTTATCCTTGCAACTAAGTGGAAAAGAGATGTGAGAAAGAACGTATAAAAGTAAACTAGGATGCAATTTGACAGCTGAGAGAAACATATACTAATATAACCCCTTACCAGCATTGGCTGGCATAGTCCAAGGTGTAGTTGTCCATACTGCCAAGCATATATTAGGGACAAACTCATCTAAAAGGCTTGTTTTCGCTCCGCCAACCACTTTGAAAATAGCATATATGCTTTTGGAAATATGACCCTCCGGATACTACACATAAAAGCAGATACAGGTAGGACTGATATCAGATAACTAGGTAAAGTGTGAAAGCGGAATGCATTAAGAACAGGAATAGATAACAACATTAAATCAGGGTTCATTGAGGATAGATAAAGAATTACTCTCGGTCTAATGGACACCAGATCGCATTATGGTAAAATATCTACGGAAGTAAGAAAAGGAATAGGAAGACTGGTATGATTTTAGCTGACTTAGTTTTGCTCTGAGCTGCCATAATATTATTATTACTCTTAAGAGTATTGATATGAAAACGGGATTCAAATTTACCTCTAATTCAGCTTCTGCAAGAGCAGTCCGAGATGAAGGGCTCCAGTGAACTGGTTTCCTACCTCTATAGATGTACCCTTTCAAGGCCATCTGGCCAAATACTTCAATCTACAATATACGATAACTAGATATGTTGATTTTATCAGGCTTTGAAGAACTCTAATAATAATCATCTCCTACATGGTATTTAATCCAGTACATAATGTGGGAGGTGAGACCATTACCTGGGCTGCTTCATATTCCGGATCAAGAGTTAGATAAGGATTGTTCCAGTCTGCCCATACACCAAACCGCTGTAAACACCAAGTACTATGTCAATGGAATACCAAACAATGACTGATGCATTCAAAACACGATATCAGATATGAAAACAAAGCTTGGTAGCCACCTTAAATGATTCCATTTGTGTTTTGACTGTTGCTTTTGCAAATTTCGCCGCCTTTGCCCTTAATTTTAATGGTGTAAGTTCCTTTCTTACTTCCTGATCCAGGGACTGCAGAACTGAAATGTTACGATTACAGCCAAATTACTCAGGCAAGTAACAAACTGGAAAATAACAAAAGGACAGTTACTTTCTGTTTCTAATGACTCAAAGGTCCAAACCTATTGTGTACTTACCTTTCAACTCAATTGGAAGGCCATGGCAATCCCACCCAGGAACGTACTGAACTTTATAGTTTTGGAGCAGCTACATGAAGAAGCAGACAGTTTGATGAGAAGGAACTCCTCTATTGGGCATAAGGAAAAATAAAGAAGCCATAAGGAGAGTAAATGGATGTCCAAGTAAGGAATAAATACCTTATAGCGATTAATGATATCCTTCAGTATCTTGTTAAGAGCATGACCCATATGCAGATCACCATTGGCATAAGGAGGACCATCATGAAGAATGAAACTCCCCTGAAATTCTAACTAAGTATCAGACACAAGTTTCTCAAAGCAAAGTTGGCGTAAGATAGTTTTGAGAAACTCACTCCATTGTTATTATCAGAAACTCTCTTGAAGACCTGGTTCTCGTCCCACAACTTCTGGAGTTCAGGTTCCCTTGTCAAAGAATTCGCTCTCATACCAAAACCTGTCTTTGGCAAATCAACCGTTTGCTTGTACTTCCCATCTTCTTGCTTTTCCCCTAACCAACATAATGGTAAATGAGTGCCACATTGCATAACAGTATTAGGAAAGAAGTGCAAGAAATGGGATGCGAACCTTCGGATGCTTTCTTTGCCGCCATAACAGGCCCACGAGACCTTCGCTTTGATGAATGACCAAACTCATTGTTTGGCTCAGTTGAATACCCTGAGACATATAAGAATGAAAAAGCCTTGACAGGAGACCTTCCCTTGGCAAGAAATGAATCCAACGGCGTATTCCTCCTTAAATTTGAACAACTTCTACCTGACAATACCTGAACGAAGACAAACCACATCTCAAAAACTATTTCCACGCAAATTTCCAGCAAGACACAAGAACTTCTACCGAATGATATAGGTGAAGTAGTTTTCCCCAAGCAAGTTCCTTAGAAAACACATTTTTCTATGAAATAACAGAGCCTAGAAACAGAATTAGTTTGATTAATGAGGGCTCTAAGTCAGAACTCAAGTAAACTACTTGCGATTTCATTTTTTCTATAAAATTAACACAGTTTTATTATTCGAAGATATAAGCAATGGATAAAAGTCAACCCAGAAGCCTCTGAAATTCTATCGAACAACTGGTGTGCAATAGTAAAACCTTAAGAACACAAACTATAACACAAAAGCAAACTACTTTAACGAAACCCACAAATCGAAATTGCCATTGCATTGATAATAAGAATCCGATTCGGAGACAAATGTGTTCTAGAAATCGAACTTGATTAGCAAGTCTATCACTTTCTCAGTACTCAAAACATATACAGTAAACAGAGAACATGGATTCAAAGTAATCAAATTTACATTCACATACTCTGTAAGATGAGGATTGAACCATCGCCATTGCAGCAGCTTCCCTGGGATTACCCGCAAAGGATTTGAAGAAAGACGACATCTTCTTCGATTTTCTCTCTGTCGCTTCTATCTCTCAGAGCTCATTTCCACGCTATCGGCGAAACAAAGATTGAGAAGGAAGGAAGGAAGGAAGAAGACTAACGTCGCCAAACTCAGGGAAGGCTTTGTGTATATGTAATATGTGTGTGTGGATAACTGAAAGTTGAAACTAGAAGTCTAGAACCAAACCTCAGAACTCGTTTCAATTTTTGGGTTTTATCCTAAATCTCTTGGTTTTTTTTTTTCTAAAATACAAATTCTCCTTTTTCTTCAATCTCATAATATTAAAAGAGAATTTATAAGATAGAAAATTAAACATTTTTTCTTAAAAAAAAAAAAATCCATGGATTTCATGAATAAATTTTCACATATATAAATATTTAATACTTATTGTTTAAATCAATTTATTTTCACTTTTTTTTTTTTTTTTTGAAAAACAATCAATTTATTTTCACTTAAAAACATTTTCCAATAGTAATTCAAATATCCTCCATTATTTGTTTTTCTTTAAGGTTAATATTTTCTTGATCTTAATAAAGATAGAGCTTCATCCCACCAAAAAAATAAAATAAAAATAGAGCTTCCTCATCGATGAAACAGAGAAAACAAAAAAAAAATCATAAGGAGGAAGGAAGTATAGAACAAGAAACATTCATTATATCATTTATCAATGTACGTTTCATCTCTCTCTAACAGCCCCGTTCAAAAAATCGGACACCTAGCCGATTAATCGGTCGTCTAGGCACTTGTCGGAGGCTTACCGTCGCGATTTAGCCCTTATTGCACTCATTAATCGTTTAAACGATTTATCGGTTAATTAGTGATTTAAACGTTGAAATTCGCCGATTTAGCAAAAGTCACACTGAATTTTGGGCATAAATCCACTAAAGATTGGGCTTCAACTTCGTTATTACTTGGAGACACTCAAATGAGAATGGAAAAGCATATTTATAATCAAACATCTCCATGGACTCATTCTCTAATTGTCGATGTAGGATGTTATGTTTTGCCAAAAATCTACTTCCTATATTTGCTTCGGCTTCTTCCAATTCAATCATGAAATCTTCATCTGCAGGAGTCAACATAACAATAAGAGTTTTTAAACCCGCATAAGATATTCCTCCAACAAATGTCTCACCATTTTTTGAACCACTTTCTGTATCATAATTATCAGGGCCGGCCCATGGCTAAAGCCCAACAAGCCAATGCTTTAGGCAGCAAAGTTTATAAATATGTTTAGGGACATCAAAATTGTAAGTGCCCAGTAGTGTAGTGGTTGAGAGTCTTCTGCTCCACCTTCCAACCAGGGTTCGAGACCTTTCCCATTTTTTTCAAAACCGAATAGTTTTCTTATTTTTTATTTCATTTTAAATCTGCTCCATTATTTCAGTTTTCTAATTTCAATTTCATTTTTTATTATTATATTAGATTGATTAACATTAAATTATCTACTAAACAATTTAATTTTTTTTTAAACCTATTTTGCTAAATCTTTTTTTTACTAAACAACTATATTAGATTGATTAATATTAAATTATTATTTTTAATTTTTAATTTTTTTAAACAATGATCCTTCTGTCTTTTATGTTTTTGGTTTTAACTTTCAAGACTTTTTTTTTTAACTCATGTTAACATTAAGTTTCAAATAATTATGTTTTTCTGTTATGCAAAAAAAAAAAAAAAAATTGGGGCAACAACTTTTTAGTTTGCTTTAGGCATCATATAACTTTGGACCGGCACTGATAATTATAATCACTCTTTCGTTTAGAACTACCTCCACGTGTATCACCACTCTTTCTTGGTTCATCTCTTCCCCACATATAGATCTTTCATTACTATCCTCAAACTTCACAAACACGTTAGGACCCTTGTTTTCTCTAAGGGGCTTTATATAGTACAAAAGTCCAACCTCACTAGCAATAAGAACAAGAGGAGTCTTTTCCTTTGTTGTGAACATAATCCTATTGGGTACAGAGTAACTCCACAAAGGTTTGACACCCTTCACTCCAAACTCCTCCACAATGGCTTCGTTCAATTAATAACTGGTTGGTTTTAGATTTGTTGGTTTAGTGCTTCTTCTCTCTCAAAGGATCGAACATGTTGCAGAACATAACTCAAATTGAAATCCTAGTCAACTTTGCTCTCTCATAATCACTATTTTTTTGTGTCTCAAGACTCAAGATCAAGACCATACTATTTTTTGAATATCATGTTGGAACTTTAATTTGTATTTTGAATAGGTATTTAGGATGGATGTCGATTTGATATGAAGTAATTTTGCAAAATTATTGATAAAGTTTAAAATATTTTTGTATCATAACACTAGAAATATTAAAATTAATCGAAAAACTAATCCCGATTAAATTCCGTTTAATCTCCTATTTTTTCGCTAGGCGCTAGGTCCACCTCGAACCTCCGACTAGCGCCTAACGATATATTAAACGTTACTAACACGTAACAAAAATAATTAGCGCATTAGACGGTAACCGGTAGTTCACATAGTGATTAATTAAAAATAATAGAAAAATTAATGACGAAAACAAAAACAATCATTAAATTAAGCACCATCAATAATGCAAGATATTATAACACTTATACTCAACAGTAGCGTCACCCGTCTTAATATCAAACCATTTGGTCCGAGCCTCGACATAACCTCTAGCGAACCGGAACATTCCACTGCCTCCAACCACTGGGCACTGGCATCTCCCTAACCTTGGATAACACCGTATTACGACCAAGAATCGTGATGGTACTCCCATTATACTTACCAGTCTTAAAAGCAAAGTTCATTGCCATCAAGAACCCTAATTCCTTTTGAGCTGCTCCGGCGTACATCCCTTGGGCTTGGCCCACCACAGTCGAGTTAATTGATGTTAAAGCGTTGTCTATTATGGTGATTGATCCGAAGAATGAGGAAGCTGAGTATTTCGACACCGGTTGTTGGATCCTGATGGAACTTGGGTTTCGACCACTTAAAATGTCGTGCCAATAAACACGGATATGTGTGAGTTTCTCTTTTTTGGCCGAGGTGTTTTCGGTTTATTGTTCTTGCAAACTCTTCACCATTTTTTCCGGCAGAAGTAACAGTTGCGCCGAGGAGGATGATTTGTGCCGCGAGGATGAGAATGAGCTTTGCCATGTTAGTTTTGTGGTGGTACTTTGTTTTATTTGTTCTTGATAGTTTATGTAAATTGTGGGTGTATATATATATATATATATAGCGCAACTTGTGTGCAATATATATCGAGTAATAGATGAGATCATGAGTGTGAAAATTACAAAGGAGGAAAAAGATAAACGAGTACTGTCTATATATAGAAGAAGGCGTGCTATTTGAGAAATCTTCTAGAAACTAAAGTAAGTTTGGATTATTTGATTTGTGTTTGGTGAATAAAGTGTGAAATATTGTATTTTATGGGGATTACAAAAAAATTCAATCAATATCACTAAAGCTGTGATTGCCAGAATATTTAGATGAGTATAGATGAGAACATTCGTAAATTGCAAATGTTGATTCCTCTACGCTTTGATGTGAAAATCTTTTGGTAGAGTATTAATTTCTAAAAAAACAAAAATATTGATATTATATCTTTCATATATCTATACTATTAATTGGGAATCACTAAATAATAAAAAAACCTTTAAGTTGTAGAATATTACATAAAATGCCATTGATTTTTTAAAATTTGAACAAACAAAAAAAAACATTTTTTAAATAATCGAAAATAAATCAATAAAATAATAACTGCCCAATAATTTAGGAAATAGTTTATAGAAGATTCCATAATAAATCAAGTTATTTGATTCGAAATTGTATATTGTCTTAATTTTTTTGACATCATTGGATCGACAAGGCTCGATCCATAGCCAATCCCTACTACGCGGGATAACGCGACTTACTGGAGTCGAACTCCGGTGGAGAAGGCGGAGTCAAATAGACTTAACCGCTTGACTAAAGGCACATCTCTAAATTGTATATTGTTTTGGTAATATATTATTAGATATTTCCGGTAATCTAATTTAATGTAACAAATTATCATTTATTTAAATTTTAATACATTTAATTATGATTAGTAGTACACATGAAAAAGACGATTTTAATATTTTATTTTCCAAATATGAAAAAATATTTATCATATTTGTCATATATAATCAAAACTAAATACTTCCATCCTTAAAAATATAACCTATTCAACAAATAATTTTGGATTTTAGATTCTAAATATCTAGATAATATTTTGAGTATAGATTAAATTATTTTACATTTTAATTAGAATTTAAATGATATAAATTTTGAAATATATTTTTTAGAAATGGGTAGTTTTCATTATTTTAAATATATATCACTAAACTAAATGTGAATTATATAAAAATATATATTTTTAAAACGTATTATAATAGTTACTATATCTCCAAATTATTTTATTTAGAGCCAAATAAATTAATATATCAAATCAAGTAAATTATTTTATTACGTCTCAAATTGTTACAAGCTTTTAGAATATATATTCTTCTAAATTCGATTATTTTATTTTTTCAAACAACATTAAAATATAATTTTAACCCACGGCCCGCAAATGGAAGAGGAAAAACATTACTTCCAAGTTTGATGGTTAACCATTTAATTAATCCGGTTACTAAAGAATGGCATCTTCCTATTTTACAAGAATTTTTGGATCCAGTGGATATTCAGTTTATTAGGGGATTGGCTATTAGCAAAGTTTATAAGCCAGATAGGCTTATCCGGCATCATACAAGATCGGGAAGATATACAGTAAAATCAGGCTATCGGGTTGCTAGAGAGATGACAGAAACGATCGAATGGGGCCCGAATTATAAGAATTTACAAGCACAAGCTTGGAAAGTCAAAGCCCCTCCAGAACTAAAACATTTCTTATGGCAAATTGCTACGGGATCTCTAGCAGTTACTTCAAAATTAGCACATCGAGGGATCCAATGTGATTTTCTCTGTAAAAGGTGTGAGATGGCAGAGGAAACAATAAATCATGCTTTATTTGAGTGCACTCATTCTCAGAAAATATGGGAATTATCAGATATACCTACGGCAATAGGTAGTTTTCCTCTAACCTCGGAATTCTCAAATCTAGATTATCTTTATTGGAGGTTACCATCTAATCTAGATGGGGAAAAAAAAACTTTCAGTTATGCTTGGATTTTGTGGTTCATCTGGAAAGATAGGAATAAAAAGGTTTTCAAGGGATTACAATCTGAACCCAGAGATATTTTAAATCATGCTTTGAGTGAAAAATTAATGTGGGAAGAAGCTCAGTTGGATCCGATCGAAACTAGTTCTACTACGGAAACTTTGGAACGACCGGCTCAATCTATAAGATGTCGGATTGATGGTTCTTGGAAAAATTCAGATCCAACAATGGGTATAGGATGGTGGTGTTTTCAAGGAAATGATCAAACGATACTGCTCGGTGCAAAGTGCCTTCGGAGGTGTCCCTCCCCTCTTCACTCGGAGATGGAAGCTTTAATTTGGGCTATGAAGAATATCCTTTCAAGAGGGATCGATTGTCAGGTGTTTGAATCAGACTGCTCGGAGTTAGTCTCGATGATACACTCACCAGATGAATGGCCTGCTTTCTCCAATCTTCTAGATGAGTTTGGTTTTCTCCGTCTCTCTTTCCCTTTCTTCTCGCTTTCTCTTATTTCTCGTTTATGTAATGTTCAAGCGGACTACTTAGCCCGTTCTTCTAGACTTTTATTTTCTGAAGTTACTTTTGTAAACTCTACTCCTCCTAATTGGGCAACCAATCAAGGAATTATTTATTAATTAATGTGTGGATGACAAAGAAAAATATATATATATAATTTTAGTACAATGTTTAAATTTTCAATGCAAATACTTCAAAATGAGAAAATATTCATTCACACCAATATTCTTATTTTTCTATTAAATTTGAATAGCTTCTTTTCTGGAAAGAACATTAATAGAATTTTTTTAACAGCTCATTAATTGTATTTGAACAATCAAAATCACCATATTTTTGCGATAATGCATAAGGATCATAGGAATTTTTAGATTTTTTTTTTTTTAATATTTTCGTCATCATAAATTGAAAATATGCAATTAAGATTAGTATTTTTTGTCATCATCCACAAATTAAAACCTAATTTCATGTACAATCTATTTCCTATAAATATTATGCATACATCCACGTAGTTGATTATCTCACAATTAATCTAAGATTGTGTTATAAATACTATATAAAATAAATTTCTTTACATCAATCTAACCTATATTATATTTTTATCTAATAAGATTTTTTTCCTAATTTACTCTTCAATTTCTAACTCCAAAATTTGACCTATGGTTCACAAGTCACAACATTAGCTATTGTGTCATAAACATTATAAATAGCATTTTATATTTTTCTGTGTAGATTATAATATATATACAACAATATATATCACCAAACAACAAAATATTTTCACTCACCAAAAAAAAACAACAAAATATTTTATATTTACAAAAAGTTTATTACAACACATTTTCTTAAAATAAGAAACCCTGCACGTATGTGCGGGTCATGATCTAGTATTATATATGTTGGAAAACTACAAAGATCTTTTTGTATAAAACCCGCTTTCCCTAAGGCCGTTAAGAATATTGATATGAAATGAAGAAAAAAATTTATAGGTATTTAATTTAATTAAGCTCTCTCCAACTTTGGTTTGTTTATTCATATAAAACCAACGAAACCCCAAACAAAATAAAAACACCTCGGTCAAACTCTTTAAAATTTAATAGACCGATATAATCGGGAAAGCTAAGCACACCTCATGACTATTTAAATTTTTCTTTAACAGAAAGTTAAGTATTTAAACCGACCCTTTTTAGTAACAAGAGACCTTGCGTGACTATCGGTTCCACAAACAACGCTCGACCACATCATAGCCGCTCACTTCTCATTCAAATAGAGATCACTTTCCATCAACTCTACAATCACAAAGCAAATCAAGAAAGCTAAAGAGAATCAAAAATGGCTAGTGGAAGTGAGCGTGTGGTGGTCGTAGGAGTAGATGATTCAGCCCATAGCTACCATGCACTCGAGACGGCTCTTGATCTCTTTTTCATACCTTTCAAGGCCAACCCACGATTCAAACTTGTCGTTGTTCACGGACGACCAACAGCGACCTCCTTCCTCGGTGTTGCTGGTCCTGGAACGGTGGATATTATACCAATGGTGGAACAAGATTTAAACAAGACCGCAGAATTGGTTAAGAAGAAGTGCTCCGAAGTGTGCTCGGCTAAGTCCGTTGAGATCTCGTCTTTGGAGGTGATTGAAGGAGATCCAAGGAATATTATGTTGGAAGCCGTGGAGAGACATCATGCATGTGTTATTGTCCTTGGTAGCCATGGTTATGGAGCTGTCAAGAGGGTGTTTTTGGGGAGTGTGAGTGATTATTTAGCTCATCACGCACATTGCTCCGTTATGATCGTCAAGAAACCTAAGGCTAAACCTACTTCTACGGAAACACACTAATGAGAGGAACAAGACGTCCTATTTTTGTTATATTTGTTACCATTCTGTTTTCTTAAGTAAGACCCTATCTATACTCTTCTTCCCCAACATCTTCAGTTTCACGTTAATAGATGTATCACTTCGTTTGTATACATTATATGAAATGGTTCTTCTTCGTCTTATTCGATCCTTACTTTCTTCTGTATCGAAACTATTGTCTAAAAACCAAGTTCTTGAAACATATATATTTACGTTTATTTTATTTGATCATAGTTAAAAGGTTCCACTTAAATTTTTTCTATGGAAAACTGTCTAACTTGCAAAAAGCTTGATGTTCTACAAAACTGAGATAGAAAACCCTATCGTGACTTAAAGGTGCTATAACCAAATACTCGTGTTGCCGAGGATTTCTAAGCAATGGCTTCAGCAACTTCTTTTCTCTTTTTTCTTTTCTCAGTTTACCACTTAGTGAGTCTCGTTTTGCATAACAATATGCTATCCAAGCTTGTAGTAGACAACACTTGTGTTTTATGCGAAAGACCATATATTCATGTCTTTTATAGTTACGAGCCCTAAGATCCCTATATCTAGCTAGGTCAGAAAAAGACATAATGCCATAAATTGAAAAAAAAAAACAAAATTGAACTGAAAATTGTAGGGCTTTGAAAATTCCAGAAATTCTCGAAGGCCGAAGACAAACTTAGACC